GCGGCGGAGAGAGAGAGAGGCACATCGAGGGTTTCTAAGAGACGAACAGAAGACAGAAAGGAGAATGCTCATGTTGGACGCTTCTGATTGTAAACCGAAGACAAATTCACTAATTTGACTAACAATTGTAATTATTAAGGATATTTGACTGACAGTAAATAATTAGTGAGGGTAGGTAGATATAGGTATAGATAAAAGAAAAATCATGGTATAGTTGTAGCGTTGGAGGGTAAAAATAGAAAAAAAATATTTTTTTATGTATGCTAATATTTTAAAGTAGTATAGATATAAATTAATACAGATCGTTTATAATATTTTCTGGTTTTTATGCTTTAGTGTTTATGTTGGATAATAAAATATGTTATCAACTGTGGATCTGGATCTAGGGGGTAGTTCATGTTTCTGGATCTCGGGCAGAGTGAGCGAGAGAATTTTCAATACATACTAATATCATGTCAGCATTGATGACAAGATATCACCAACTAATAATAAAACCTCAAACAGATAAAGTGAATTTTACTTGTGTAGTTATTAGTTTACATGAAAGAAGAGTGTGTAGTTTATCTACCTATGCAGATAGGTAGTTAGTTATTGGCTTTTGTGGGGGTCCACTTCCTTATTTTTCAACATATTATTAATTGATGATATCACATAATAATATTGACGTGATATTACTGTTACAATGAATATTTTTCTCGGGCAAGGAGGTGTGAACCTCGACCCACTGTAATAGAAAATAGAGGAGAAAGTGTAAGAATGATTTAAGGTAGATGTTTTGTAATTACTATTTACTCATATTTTGGCATGCCTTATCTTCTAGAAAAGTGTGAGATTTATATGTTTGTATAGTATTACTCATTTTGGGTTATGTTATTTCGGGTTTGTGACGTGTACTAGTCAATTCTAACTTAACACGTTTAATTAATTGTGTCGTGTCGATTTAATTTATTTACTTTTTTCGTGTCTACTTGATTTATTTATTTTTGTATGACGATTGTGTTGACCTATATAACTTGTTAATAAAAAATTTAGCACTCATATTTAAGTCTAAAATTTTATTATCGCTTAATTGAACTTGTGTTCATACTTTTTTTATAAACTAAAAATTAATTTAGTAAATATAATAATTGAAATGAGAATTATTTTTTTGTATTAGAATTGTTACTACTTGATAAAATATAATAAAAAATTAATGTTTTATTGTTATAATACAAGTTAGACGTGTCAATTTTGTGTTCACATTTGACACTACCATGACTTATTTATTATTTATGTTAACGGATCGTGTTATTTACGGGTTTCTATCAAGAAATAATCAAATTTAATCTATTAATTTTGTGTCAATTTTGAATTATATTTTTGTGTCGTGTGAAAAATTGTCACCTCTAATTTTGTGTGCTAATTTGTGTGCCAGTACCTTCTTATATTCGATAGTATGTGACAAAAAGATCATCCTTGTGTATAGTTATTAGAATGGGAGGTGTTATTCTAAATCGAGTTGTACGAGCTTAAGCTTGAGTCTGACGAGCTTGTTTTTCTATACAAGTCTAAAAAATTGTTGAAGTTCGACTCGTTTAAAATTCGAGTTAAACCAGTAACTAATTAGCTTGATTATTTTACGTATAAATGAGTTGTGAATTTGAGCTGAGCTTAAAAAATCATTCATATCATGAGAACACTAATATAATCCGTTAAGAAACAATACTTCATTTGTCATCCACGAATATTTACAATATTATCCAAAAGAATAAGCCCAAGTCATGACTATTACATCTCAAAAATTAATTAAAAAAGCGCAGCGGAATAAACAAAAGAAGTTGGATTACACAATGTTCCAAAAGAATGTCCTAGTCTAGTACAAAAGGAAAGGAGGTCGCTCTATGCATCCACCTCGGGATCCACACTCCCGTCTAGTGGAGTCTCCCAAAAAGTTGGCTACTCGACCCTTACGTCTTCCTTCTCAAACGGGTAATCTGAAAAATGTTAGCGATAGGGGGTGAGCACGAAGCTCTATAAAAAAATTCTCCCAAACCCATACAAGGTTTAGAAAATCATTTAAAACGGTCAGTCTCAATTTTAACATAACATAGATACATAATTTGAAATAAAACAGTGACATTTAAAAAGGATCTCAAGTTTATTTAAAAATATTACTTAAATGAAAAAACGAGCACCACATACAAATAATAACCATTAATTGTCATAACCAATTTTCAACAATTCTTTCGGTAGGTGGCATACTTTGTGGTAACCTCCATCCCCCTTTAGTTCACCTTTGATTCTCAAGCATCCTTATCGGGAAGCTCTTGAAAATGGATGAGCATCCTTACATGGAACCTGTCACCAATCACTACATTATTTCTCAAGCATCCTTACCGGGAACCTCTTAGGAAGGGGTAAGCATCCTTATAAGGAACCTCTCGCTCATGTGCATTACAAACAACCCAATCAAACATACAATTCAAACATTTATCTCAATTTACAAGCATCTATCCAAAATCCCAAAAATATATCATATAACAATTCTACAACCAACTAAGAAAATACATGAGATCGCAATAACATCATTTTTCTACTCAATATAAAGCACTAAGGTTTTGAAATCCATAATAAAGAAAGCATTTAGAAAGAAAATACATCACTCTCCAAAAATTAGGGTTTTAAAACTAGAAAGGAGATTTCATAGGTATTAAATCCTACTTTGTTCAAAACATATAATTCTTACAAAAAGCCTAAGAGAGAATGATTCCATAACATGTATATACCATTGATAGCCAAAACATACATATATAAATACCCTAGCCTCAATGTAAGTGAATGAGAGAAAGCCCCTACTTTGAATCCTTAACTTTGATGTGAAAAACAAGAATATTTGATCTTTAATCACCCTTGAATCTCTTGTTTTTCCTTCATTTCTTGTTCTCTAATGCTCTCTAGGGTTTCAAGAGGTGTGGGGGTGTGAAGGGAGTGAAGGAAATGAGAGCAAATGAGTTTAAAACATAACAGCCCTGAAAAACACTGTTCACATGCTGTTTTGGGTTTCTCTAAATTTACGATTTTACCAATAAGAATCTTTAATTTGATGTATATGACTACCCTAAGGTTTGTCGATGTTCCGGATTCATTTTTAATGTTATTTTAACCTAAAAATATTTATTTTTATGATTTATCTCAAAACTCAAGTCAACGTACACCAAAAAATACTAAAGTTTCTATTTTACCCATCCGAATCGACTATTAATAAAGTTTTGCAATGTTTGCAAATAAAAAGTGTTTCTTAAAGCCCTTTTTTCTACTTATTTGAAGTCTAAAAGTATTCATTATTCTTCTATTTTGATTTAGGATGCAAATTGAGACATTAAATGCAAAACGAAACTAATTGGACTATTTCGACATCGTTTCGTAACATAACTCTCTCATCCAAGCTCCGATTGAGATGATTCAAGATGCTATGGAATGATACGAAAGAGCTCTAAAATTTTCATGTTTTGAGAGATATTGACTGCATTAAGGTCTAAATCGAGCTTGAAGTTGCAACAGTGCACTGTTCACTTGCACTGTTCTATTTTCAATATCTACTTTTCTAATCTACCAAATTCAAACATATATCATTACATATATCCACATTTTTTTTACCACAATTATTTACTATATATCTATATACATATATAAAAAAAAATGCGGGGTGTTACAATTTAATACTATATAAATAAAATTTTATCCTAGAGTTAATCTCAACTAAAGTTTGCGTCTCCTTTAGACCCTCACTCACTCTTAGTTTCTCACTCTCACTCTCAAACCTATCTCTCACACTGAGATCCCTCTCCCTTGCGCCTCCTCCCTCTCTCAACAATGGCAATGGTTGTGTCATTAAGTAGTGGGCAATGACAACAATTATTATTTCTGTTTATGTTAAATTACTGTTGGTGTTTGTGTTCTATTTATTTCTATTTGTGGAGCAGTGACCTCCAAGTGTTCTATTTAAATTACATTGGCAGCAGTGAACCAGAATCCTTTCTGTTTGTGTTTTGTTTATTTCTGTTAAACTGGTTCTGTGCAAGGATTTTGTTTAAGCAGTGAACTTTATGTTTGTGCAAGGATTCTGGTTGTGTTTATTTGTGTTCTGTATGGTTGTGGTTGCATTATCTTAAACATTGAGTTCTTAATATTATGATTTTTATGTTAAAAACTTGATTGAAGTAAATCAAAATCAATCCAAAATCATTAACCCGAATTCAACTCGAGCTCGTCCGAATTAAACTCGGGCAATGCTTGGGTTGAGTTTCTCAATCCGAGGTAGGGTCATGGTTAGGGTTAGGTTTGAAGATTATATACTTAGGGTTGAGCTAGAGTTGACTGTCCAACCCGCTCGAGTTACACCCCTGATCTCAATATCTGAAAACGTTTCGGGGGCTAAAATGTCATTACATCTTTGTCATTAGAGAAAGTCATTGCCAGAGCGACTAAGAGGCACTTTATTATAACTTGTGGCTTATGGGTATAAGTAATGCTATGCTGACCAAATTTTGGAACGTGTTTTTGAACATTGGTTGATGATGTTTCTGGTGATTGTCAAGACTTCGACGTGGCAGAACAACTACCCACATCTTGTTTTTTTTTAAAGGTTAGGCTTATTCGGATTAATTTATGTACAATTCGACTAATTTTTTTTTTCTAATTCAGTTTATGGTCATTTATGTTGGGACTAGAGTATTCACTAAGGATAAATCCTCATGGTCTAGTCATAAGTTGTCAAAATTTGAATTAAAAACGTCTAAATTTACAGTTCTTCGATATTATCGCTAGAGTTATTCCTTCAGGATAAACAACTATCCATATGTGTGAATATTGTTATCACTCTCGTCGCATGTCATATAGATGATTTATGTCTGGATTTTACTGTTTTGTTTCATTCATATCCACTAGACTATTAACTTTCGAAAAAATCCCATATAAAAAGTTGTTAAACTCTTGACATCCACAGAGTTAGGCGTGCCTCATGATTTCATGTCCACCACAAACTTTCAATCTACTTCCAAAAGACAGACGGTTCCCATCAAGGTTCTTACCATCGTAGGAAATAAGCTGTGTTGATTTTCCTTTCTATAAATATGAACTCATCATGTTGATTTTCCAAAAAGTACCAAGAGTTTCTATAGATTTCAGCCCTTGTGTTTGTTCAATTCCTCTCAATTATAGGCGGCATAAATGGCTGACAAAACCTTCCACATAGTAATGTATCCATGGTTTGCCATGGGACATCTCACAGCATTTGTTCATATCTCCAACAAACTTGCAGAGAGAGGGCATATAATCTCCTTCTTCATCCCCACCAAAACACAATCCAAGTTACAACACTTCAATCTCCACCCTGACCTCATCACGTTCATTCCGGTCACTGTCCCTGCCGTCGACGGCCTCCCTCTAGGAGCCGAAACTACTGCTGATGTTCCTTATCCTCTCCAATCTTTCCTCATGACGGCCATGGATCTAACCCAACTCAACTTTGAAGCTTCTCTTGTAAAACTGAAACCCCATTTCGTGTTCTTCGATCTTACTCACTGGATTCCACCATTGACCCGTCGTTTGAGGATTAAATGTGTCCATTTACTTACGGTCAGCCCTGCAACAGTGGGTTATCTGTTAAGCCCGGCAAGAGAATTCACCGGAAAGCAGTTAACAGAAGCTGATTTTATGGAACCTCCGGCGGGTTTTCCTCCATCATCCATAAAGCTCCATAAACATGAAGCTCGAGGAATTACAGGTTTTATCCTGAAAGAGTATGGTAAGGGTATATCATTCAGAGAAAGATTCATGATTGGTTCTACTAATGCTGATGCGATTGGTTTCAAAACTTGCAAAGAAATGGAAGGGCCTTACTGTGATTATCTTGAAAACCAGTTCAACAAACCGGTCATTCTCGCCGGTCCTGCATTACCGGAACCTCCCATTTCAACTCTAGAAGAAAGATGGGCAAAATGGATGGAACAGTTCAAATCCAAAACTGTGATTTTTTGTGCATTTGGAAGCGAATGTGTGCTTCAGAAAGAACAGTTTCAAGAACTGGTTCTGGGTTTTGAGCTCATTGGCCTTCCGTTCTTCGCTGCCCTGAAACCACCTATTGGAATCGAGACGGTCGAATCGGCGTTGCCAAAGGGGTTTCAAGAGAGAGTACAGGGTAGAGGTGTTGTTCATGGGGGGTGGGTTCAGCAACAACTGCTTTTGGGACACCCATCTGTGGGGTGTTTTGTGACTCATTGTGGTTCAGGGTCATTAACAGAAGGAATGGTGAATGAGTGCCAATTGGTGCTAGTTCCACATGTGGGTGATCAAATCATTAATGCAAGGGTGATGGGTGGATATTTGAAAGTTGGAGTTGAGGTTGAGAGAGGAGAAGAAGATGGGTTGTTCACAAAGGACAGTGTTTGTAAGGCAATAAGGTCAGTAATGGAGGTTGACAGTGAGGTGGGGAAGGAGGTGAAGGCCAACCATGCTAAATGGAGAGAGTTTTTGCTAAGTGAGGGGCTTGAGAGCTCATACATTGATGGGTTTGTTCAGAAGCTTGGCGGCCTGTTAGAATAGGGAAATACTGCAGTATAAACCTTATTTTCATAAGTGTATTAAATTTAGGAATTTTTGTACTTTGCACCCTGAAAGATATCTCGATTACCATTTTATACTTTGAAAAATTATTATTTTTATATTATACCGTGAATATCATAAATTGGTTCAAATGTGACCCTTAGACTAATATCCGTTTCAGATTCTATTAAAAATTAATGAGCATGCCACATAATGACATGAATGGTGAGTTTACATTTTTTCTTAACACCAACATACATGGATGATAAGTGCATTAATTTTTAATAGAATCTGAAACCAATATTAATCTGGGAGTCATATTGGAACCAATTTATAACATTCAGGGTTCAATGTGGCGAAAATAATATTTCAGAGTACAAAGTAGGAATCATGACATCTTTTAGGGTGTAAAGTTCGAAAAGTCTTAAAATTTACTCTTTTTTTTTCTTTATTAAGNCAGCCCTTGTGTTTGTTCAATTCCTCTCAATTATAGGCGGCATAAATGGCTGACAAAACCTTCCACATAGTAATGTATCCATGGTTTGCCATGGGACATCTCACAGCATTTGTTCATATCTCCAACAAGCTTGGCGGCCTGTTAGAATAGGGAAATGCTGCAGAACAAACCTTATTTTCAGAAGTGTATTAAATTTAGGAATTTTTGCACTTTGTACCCCGAAAGGTATCTCGATTCCCATTTTATACCCTGAAAAATTATTATTTTTATATTATACCTGAATATCATAAATTGGTTCAAATGTGACATTTAGACTAATATCCGTTTCAGATTCCATTAAAAATTAATGAGCATGCCACCTAATGACATCAATGGTGAGTTTTTCTTTTTGCCTAAGACTAACATACATGGGTGGCAAATGCATTAATTTTTAACAGAATTTAAAACGAATATTAATCTGAGAGTCATATTGGAACCAATTTATAACATTCAGGGTTCAATGTGGCAAAAATAATATTTTGGAGTACAAAGCAGGAATCATGACATCTTTTAGGGTGTAAAGAGCAAAAATTCTTAAAATTTACTCTTTTTTTTTTGTTTATTGAGTTACTAATTGATGCACACGTGCGTTACATGTGAACAATTTTGATTTATAATTTTGAATCTACGTTAAGTTATCTTTGGCTACTTTTTTTTTACTTTATTGGGCCATCAGTGGAAAATTAGAGTGTTGTTACTACAACAAACTAATAAGTGAATATAAAAATATAAGAAAGGTTAGAGCATTGCTTTGAGATAGGGAGGGAGGCAACAAAATAAAGCTTGAATAACTCGGGAATAAGTGAATGATGGATAAAATTGTATTGTTCCAATTTACTTATTAAATCTTGTACTGTGTTAAAATCTTATGCATTTAATATTTTGTGGAGTTAATGGACCCCAGTAATCCAATCATCTGTATTGATTCGGGATACAAAATTTGATAAATAATTTGATTTGCATAGTGTTGCTCTTGAATGGTTGCACAATGGATTGATTTAAAAAACAAAGCTTCGGTATGCTTGTCTGTCAAAACTAAGCAAACGATTACACTGGTGCATTCAACAAAAAACTCAATTTTTCATTGCCATCCATACACAAAATTATAATATTTAATGAATTGAAAATCAACACTGCAAGGAAACAATTGTTGGCTTTATGAACTGAAATTATCAAAGTAGAATATAAATATTTACTTCAGATGGTTTGCTTTGAAAAACAAAGGAGCTTGGATTCTAGTTTGAGAATTGGTTGGAGGTTTTGTGGAGTTAATAGATCCCTCATAAATTATGCATTAAAAAATAGTTTGTCCACTTGCAGTCATACCCAATGACGCTTGGGACCCTGATTAATAGATTATTAGTTGCTTTGATTAATTCACTAAATATATCTGATTCTATTATCAATTTAAATACTTCCCTTGAAAAAATAGAATGCAAAACCTGAGGGGTGTTTGGTTTGTGAGTCGAAAACTGTTTTTTGTTTTCAAAATTTTAAAAACACCCGAAATCTGTTTGCTTAGCATTTTTGTTCTCAAATTTTTGGAAAAAAAAATGAGATTTAGAACATAAACATAGAAAACAAGTTAAACTTATTTTCACAGTTTTCTTTGAAAATTTTGGAAACACGGAGACAAGCTAAACAAACTAAATAAGGTCGCAGCTTCGAGTATCCTTAGCAGCAAAAAACGCCTTTTGTTTTTCCTTTCCTTTTTCTCTCCATTTTGCCCAGCGTCTCTTTCTCTAGTGTCTCCACTGTGCTTGTCCGGCGTCTTCACTGTGTTTCAGACTTGCCTATTTCTCCTCTCTCTCCACTCTACTATAGATTTGCCCCCCCCTCTCTCTCTCTCTCTCTCTCTCTCTCTCTCGCAACAATTACAGATCTGTGTGGGCCTGTGTGTGTATGTTTTGTGTCTGCGTGTGTGTGTATGCCTCTATGTATGCGTGTGTGTGTCTGTGTGTGTGAGTGTGTTTTGTGGAGACAGAGAGAGGTGAGAATTGTGATTATTGTCTAAATAGGTTTTATAATTTTTGTTATGTAAAAACTATTTTCAAAAATATATAACTAAACAGGTTTTGTAATCTAAAAATTTTTAAAAACACTTTCTTAAAACTCTTCTTAAAAATCGTTTTCGAATACTATTTTTTGAAATGCAAACTAAATTGACCCCTGAGATTCCGGTCATTTTAATTCAATGAAAGGACAAAAGATGCATTGCAATGTTGCAAAAATAAAACTATAGGCTTGCATTTTTTGTATGATAATTGTGATTGAAACTTTTTCAAACCAAAACATTTTGTAGCCATGCCAACCTTAAACAAATAGTAATTACGATTAACGACAGTCAACAAAGGTTAGAATCACTCAGTTGAATTATGTGAACTATTTCTATTTGGCAGTGCAAGGGCTGATGTGGTGCAGGGGCATGAACACCAAGAGCTCAAGCCTCTGTCGAATGAGCCTTCTGATTTATGTTTGGTGTTGTTCCTTCCCACATATCTGCCAGCTCCTTTCTCATCCAAGATATGACAATTACAGGTCCCAAAGTAGAGGGTACCTATATTCAATGGATAATGAACAGAAAAATTAGAGGCAAAGATGGTGGAATGGTGCTAGACCTAAACAAAAGTAATGACAAGAATTAAGTAAAAGAAAAGGACTACATTCAAATCAAAGAACTGTCTTTCACATTTACTGAATGCTTCAAAAATCAATGACCCGATTTCTCAGGTTCCCAAGCATGGCCCCATTTTCCTAATGAGTACATGGATGAATTAAAAGAGATCTATGCAACGATTTTTAATTCCACCTAAAATTCCAAAAATGTGGAAGCAACAAGTTTCGAGAATTTTATTTTTTAATGGCAGAATCAGAAGATAATAACTGCTTTTTTTCTTTCTAAAAAAAACACTCTTTCTTACTCTCACATGACTATGCACACAGAATGAAGATAGATCTGCACTGAAATGAAGAGTAAGAATTAATTCAGATTCATACTAGATATAACAATATTACAATTTTATTTCATCATACCAGATATAAAAGTGTTGGTTGAGGCGCGAGTGTCAAAATGTTAGCTCCTAAAGCAGTTATCAGTCCAATTGCATATCCAAAAAGGGGCATACCAAATGTATTTGTGCCTCTTAGAAGAAGGAATATCCAATGGATTCACAGAATCCTTGTTCCTTCTGTGATCGAAAGAGAGAACTAATGCCAGAAGCATAGAAGGAATGACCTGCATAACCAACACAATACAATTACAAAAGCTTAGAAGTTTGTGATCAGCTTTATCAATTGAGAAGAACTCACACAATGAGCACAAGTATCAGACGGTTATGTCCTCGGGCAAATTCAGAGAAGTTAGCTTCAGACCATTTGTTCTTTTGTGTACAAGATGCTAAATTTTATAAACATTGGTGTGATGGGCAATAAAAAGGAATCAAGTGTAGCACCCAAAGAATACACCTCCACATAATCTCTAATCAGGTATTATATATACGCACAATCACACACAATATAGATCTAAAGAGAAAAGAGTAAGAAGAATTAGAAAGTTTTTCGTGAAGTAATTGCACACCCACTCATTCCATGTTTCAACAATTCAATTTGGAGAGAAATTCAATCATTAAATACCTGACGAATTCAGTGTACAATGAGTGAGTACCTTTTTGAGCAGCATGTTATTGGTTCCGTGATGCCAATACACAAGGTGTGTTTGTGACTGATTTTCTCTGTGAAGCATCAATTTGTCAGTTTCCATTATGATGTTGAATTTAAAATTTGGGATGTAGTTTCAGAAAAAAAAAAAAAAAACCTTATAAGAGATATTAGTGGAAGAACTATACCTGAAAATATACAGCTGGTTCGGCGATGGGGTGTCTGCTTGCAATGCAACATGTGCAAACACCTATATTGATACAAATTCTAATTTTGAGCGTTGGACTTGCGGGGTTCAAATCAATTACTGATATAGGGCATTGCAACTTCATACATTAAGATCTAGAATGCGTACAACCACAAGGTGCAAGGGCAGCAGACATTGAGATACCGTAGAGAGGTACTTGAATAGGTGGAGTAACCTATGCTGAGAGAGAGAGAGAGAGAGAGAGAGAGAGAGAGAGAGAGAGAGAGAGAGGCACATCGAGGGTTTTTGAGAGACAAAAAGAAGACAGAAAGCAGAATGCTCATGTTGGACGCTTCAGATTGTAAACCGAAGACAAATTCACTAATTTGACTAACAATTGTAATTGTTAAGGATATTTGACTGACAATAAGTAATTAGTGAGGGTAGGTAGATATATGTATAGATAAAAGGATAATCATGGTATAGTTATAGTGTTGGAGGGTCAAAATGAAAAAAAAATATTTTTTTATGTATGCTAATATTTTAAAGTAGTATAGATATAGATTAATACAGATCGTTTTTAATATTTTCTGGTTTTTATGCTTTAGTGTTTATGATGGATAACAAAATATGTAGCCAACCGTGGATCTAGATCTAAGGGGTAGTTGGTGTTTCTGGATCTTAGGGCAGAGCAAGCGAGAGAATTTTCAAAACACACTAATATCATGTCAGCATTGATGACATGATATCATCAACTTATAATAAAACCGCAAACAGATAAAGTGAATTTTACTTGGGTAGTTTTTAGTTTACATGAAAGAAGAATGTGTAGTTTATCTACCTACGTAGATAGGTAGTTAGTTATTGGCTTTTGTGGGGGTTTACTTCCTTATTTGTCAACATATTATTAATTGATGATATCACATAATAATATTGACGTAATATTACTATTACAATGAATATTTTTTCAGAGCAACGTGGTGTGAACCTCAACCCACTATAACAGTAAATAGAGGAGAAAATGTAATAATGATTTAAGGCAGATGTTTTGTAATTACTATTTACTGATATTTTGGCATGCCTTATCTTCTAGAAAAGTGTGAGATTTATATGGTTGTATAGTATTTCTCAATTTGGGTTATGTTATTTCGGGTTTGTGACGTGTACTAGTCAATTCTAACTTAACACATTTAATTATTGTCGATTTGATTTATTTACTTTTTTTGTGTCGACTTGATTTATTTATTTTTGTATGACGTTTGTGTTGACTTATATAACTTATAAATAAAAATTTGAACACTTATGTTTAAGTCTAAAATTTTATTATCGCTTAATTGAACTTGTGTTTATACTTTTTCTATAAATTAAAAATTAATTTAATAAATATAATAATTAAAATGGGAAATTTTTTTTTTTTGTATAAGAATTGTTAGTACTTGATAAAATATAATAAAAAATTAATGCTTTGTTGTTATAATACTAGTTAGACGTGCCAATTTTGTGTTTGCATTTGACACTAACATGACTTATTTATTATTCATGTTAACGGGTCATGTTATTTATGGGTTCCTATCGAGAAATGATCAAATCTAATCTATTAATTTTGTGTCAATTTTGAATTATATTTTTATGTTGTGTGAAAAATTGTCATCTCTAATTTTGTGTGCTAATTTGTGTGTTAGTACCTTCTTATATTCGATAGTATGTGACATAAAGATCATCCTTGTGCATAGTTATTAGAATGAGAGGTGTTATTCTAAGTCGAGTTGTACGAGCTTAAGCTTGAGTCTGGCGAGCTTGTTTTTATATACAAGTTTAAAAAATTGTTCAAATTCGACTCGTTTAGAATTCGAGTCAAGCCAATGACTAAGTAGCTTAATTATTTTACATATAAATGAGTTAAGTTTTGTGAATTTGAGCTGAGTTTAAAAAATTGTTCAAGTTCAGTTCGTTTAGAGAATGAGTGGAGTTCGAATTGAATTTTATTTGAGCAAAGTTCGAGGAGTTCGTCTCGATTAGGGGTGCAACTTGGGTGGACTAACTCAAGCCCAATCCGAAAAAAAAGTAGGGCTTGGACTAGGAATTTTAATATTTGGGTTGGAGTTGAGACAAAAAATATCAACCCGAATTCAATTTGGACGGGTCTAGAGTTGAGCCATCGGGTTCACGGATTGAACCCAAATACTAAAATTGGACTCAACTCGATTTAATAATCGAGTTCAACCCGATTTAATACTATATAAATAAAATTTAATCCTAGAGTTAATCTCAACTAAAGTCTACGTCTCCTTTAGACTCTCACTCACTCTTAGTCTCTCACTCTCACTCTCAAACCTATCTCTCACACTGAGATCCCTCTCCCCCGCACCTCTTCCATCTCTCAACAATGGCAGTGGCTGTGTCATTAAGCAGTGGGCAATGAAAGCAATTATTATTTCTGATTGTGTTAAATTACTGTTTGTGTTTGTGTTCTGTTTATTTCTGTTTGTGGAGCAGTGAAATCCAAGTGTTTGTGTTCTATTTAAATTACATTGGCAATAGTGAACCAGAATCCTTTTTGTTTGTGTTCTGTTTATTTCTGTTAAACTAGTTCTGTGCAAGGATTTTGTTTAAGCAGTGAACTCTATGTTTGAGCAGTGAACTCTATGTTTGTGCAAGGATTCTGGTTGTGTTTATTTGTGTTATGCATGACTGTGGTTGCATTATCTCAAACGTTGGATTCTTAATATTAAGGTTTTTATGTTAAAAACTTGATTGAAGTAACCCGGAAATCAGTTCGAAATAATTAACCCGAATTCAACTCGAGCCCTCCCGAATTAAACTCGGGAAGTGCTCCGGTTAAGTTTCTCAATCTGATGTAGGGTTAAGGTTAGGGTTATGTTTGAAGATTATATACTTAGGATTGAGGTAGGGTTGACTGTCCAACCTGCCTGAGTTACACCCCTGATCTCAATATCTGAAAACGTTAAGGGGGCTAAAATGTCATTACATCGTTGTCATTAGAGAAAGTCATTGCCAGAGCGACTAAGGAGACTCTTTATTATAACTTGTGGCTTATGGATATAAGTAATGCTATGCTGACCAAATTTTGGAATGTGTTTTAGAACATTAGTTGATGATGTTTCTGGTGATTGTCAAGACTTTCACGCGACAGACCAACTACCCACATCTTGTTTTTTTTTTAAAGGTTAGTCTTATTCGGGTCAATTTATGTACATTTCGACTAATTTTTTTTTTGATTCAGTTTAAGGTAGACCATTTATGTTGAACTAGAGTATTCATGAGGGATAAATTCTCATGGTCTCAAAATTCGAATTGAGATTGTCTAAATTTACGGTTCGTCAATATTATCGCTATTCCTTCGGGATAAACAACTTTCCATATGTGTGAATATTGTTATCACTCTCGTCGCATATTATATAGATGATGTATGTCTGGATTTTACCGTTTTGATTCATTCATACCCACTAGACTATTAACTTTCGAAAAAATCTCATATAAAAAGTTGTTAAACTCTTGACATCCAGAAAGTTAGGTGTGCCTCGTGATTCCACAAACTTTCAATCAACCTCCAAAAGAAAGGCGGTTCCCATCAAGGTTCTTACCATCTTAGGAAATAAGTTGTATTGATTTTCCTTTCTATAAATATGAACTCATCATGTTGATTTTCCAAAAAGTACCAAGAGTTTCTATAGATTTCAGCCCTTGTGTTTGTTCAATTCCTCTCAATTATAGGCGGCATAAATGGCTGACAAAACCTTCCACATAGTAATGTATCCATGGTTTGCCATGGGACATCTCATAGCATTTGTTCATATCTCCAACAAACTTGCAGAGAGAGGGCATAGAATCTCCTTCTTCATCCCCACCAAAACACAATCTAAGTTACAACACTTCAATCTCCACCCTGACCTCATCACGTTCATTCCGGTCACTGTCCCTGCCGTCGACGGCCTCCCTCTAGGAGCCGAAACTACTGCTGATGTTCCTTATCCTCTCCAATCTTTCCTCATGACGGCCATGGATCTAACCCAACTCAACTTCGAAGCTTCTCTTGTAAAACTCAAACCCCATTTCGTGTTCTTCGATTTTACTCACTGGATGCCACCATTGACTTGCCGTTTGGGGATTAAATGTGTCCATTTTTGTATCATTAGCCCTGCAACAGTGGGTTATCTGTTAAGCCCGGCAAGAGAATTCACCGGAAAGCAGTTAACAGAAGCTGATTTTATGGAACCTCCGGCGGGTTTCCCTCCATCATCCATAAAGCTCCATAAACAAGAAGCTCGAGGAATTACAGGTGCGACCCTAAAAGAGTATGGTAAGGGTATATCATTCAGAGAAAGATTAATGATTGGTTTTACTGATGCGGATGCGATTGGTTTCAAAACTTGCAAAGAAATGGAAGGGCCTTACTGTGATTATCTTGAAAACCAGTTCAACAAACCGGTCATTCTCGCCGGTCCTGCTTTGCCGGAACCTCCCATTTCAACTCTAGAAGAAAGATGGGCAAAATGGATGGAACAGTTCAAATCCAAAACTGTGATTTTTTGTGCATTTGGAAGCGAATGTGTGCTTCAGAAAGAACAGTTTCAAGAACTGGTTCTGGGTTTTGAGCTCATTGGCCTTCCGTTCTTCGCTGCCCTGAAACCACCTATTGGAATCGAGACGGTCGAATCGGCGTTGCCAAAGGGGTTTCAAGAGAGAGTACAGGGTAGAGGTGTTGTCCATGGGGGGTGGGTTCAGCAACAACTGCTTTTGGGACACCCATCTGTGGGGTGTTTTGTGACTCATTGTGGTTCAGGGTCATTAACAGAAGGAATGGTGAATGAGTGCCAATTGGTGCTTGTTCCACATGTGGGTGATCAAATCATTAATGCAAGGGTGATGGGCGGAGATTTGAAAGTTGGAGTTGAGGTTGAGAGAGGAGAAGAAGATGGGTTGTTCACAAAGGACAGTGTTTGTAAGGCAATAAGGTCAGTAATGGAGGTTGACAGTGAGGTGGGGAATGAAGTGAAGGCCAATCATGCCAAATGGAGAGAGTTTTTGCTAAGTGAAGGGCTTGAGAGCTCATACATTGATGGGTTTGTTCAGAAGCTTGGAGGCCTGTTAGAGTAGGGAAGGACTGCAGTACAAACCTTATTTTCAGAAGCGTATTAAAATTTAGAGATTCTTGTACTTCGCACCCCGAAAGATATCTCAATTCCCATTCTATACCTTAAAATATTTTGGGGTATCTCAATTCCCATTCTATACCTTAAAATATTATTTTTTTTACGTTACACATGAATATCATAAATTGGTTTAAACGTGACCCTCAGATTAATATTTGTTTCAGATTCTATTAAAAATTAAGGAACATGTTCCCTAATGATATGAATGGTAAGCTTACATTTTTACCCAAGATCGAAATATGTGGGTGACGAGTGCATTAAATTTTTAAAGAATTTGAATTGAATATTAATTCGAATGTCACATTAGAATTAATTTATGAAGTTCGGGGTTCAATTTGTAAAAAATTATCTTTTTAAGTATAAAGCGGGATTCAAGACATCTTTTAGCGTGTAGTACGAAAAGTTCTAAAATTTACTCCTTTTTTTTTTTTAGTTTATTAAGTTATGATATTTTTTGGTTTATAAGGTTGTTGGGATCGAAATTTTATGATTCTAAATATTGAGGACCAACATAGATATTTTCGAATTGATCTTCACTAGTTTTGTTGTAATTTAACCATAAAAATTGTAAATTAAACAAAAAAGGTGTAAAAAAAATAATTTTCACAAAAAAAAAGAAAAAAATTCACCGCATAAAATCTTCACGTGGGTGTGGGACCCTTTGAGCAGCGCTAAAAGCATAACATTACTGTTATATCCGAGCATCCACACACCAGATTCTCTCTTTCTCTGGTGGTAGGGGTTTTTTTTGCCCTTTTCTTAGTCTGTCAATCCCTGAGAAACCAGTTGAAGAAAGAAGCACAAATTCTCCAAACTACAAAGAACGATTAGGCTGCTTCTTTCTGAACTCGGCTTCTTCTCCGGCTTCAAAAGTTCGTCATGGGAAGAGGAAAGTTCAAGGCCAAGCCCACTGGGCGTCGCCAGTTCTCCACCCCCGAAGAGCTCAGTAAATCTCTCTCTCTCTCTCTCTCTCTCTCTCTCTCTCTAATATACACACACACACACGCACACGCACACGCACACACTTTATATTTGTCTATGCATGTACATATTGAGGGTTGGATTAGTGGATCCTGGGGATGCTTGTGATAATTTATGAAAGATGAACTGGTAATTTATTTGTTTAATTATCGTAATTTGGATTGAATTTGGTAAAGTTTCTGGACTTGATTATGTATTTTAGTCTGATTCGGCTTTAAAGTTAAGTTGGTATTCTGGTACATTGGGTTCTGTGATTAGGTTGATTTGCGATGAATTTCTTACACTGACTTTTTTTTAATTCAGTTTGATTCAAAATGAGATATATTGTATTTGATTGTCGTTAAATTGAGTTTATTATTCTCGTATATTTGTTTCTGTGATTAGGTTGAATTTGATTAATTTCTGATACTGACTGTATTTTTTATTTAGTTTGATCTGATTTGCTATGAATTTCTGACACTGACTGTTGTTTTTAATTCAGTTTGATTCAAAATGAGATATATTGTATTTTATTGTCTTTAAATTGAGTTTATTATTCTGCTATATTGGTTTCTATGATTAGGTTGAATTTGATTAATTTCTGATACTGTCAGTATTTTTTATTTAGTTTGATTCAGAATTAGATATCTTATATGTGATTTATCAGGTTTCTGTACTTTTGAAGTTATGATATATTCTTATCCAAAAAACTTATCATGTATTAATATTTGAAATATATCGACGAGTATGAAATTATGTTGTTACCTGGGCTTTCAGTAGATTACTGCTTTATCACAAATTTGATGATGAAGAAGAGCTTTGGAGTGGCGGTTGAATTAAATATTGACTAATTGTTTTCTTTGGTCTATATGCAGTTGCTGGCACCTCTGCTCGTCCTCGTACGTTTAGACAGGTAAATATTATTGTTGCTTAAATGTTTAAAAGCTGCATTGTAGTGCTGTGGCTCTATTGTATTGCATAGGGTATTTTCTGGTTGTACTTATTTTCTTGAATGTATTTACCGCAATTTTGTCTCAAGAAGAAGTTCATAATGCTTATGAACTTTATAATAGCAGAATTTTCGAAGGAAAGCTTGAGGACCCGGAGTTATTATGGATATTTAAATTTTTGGCATCTCAATGGGCTATGGTGACCAATGAGTTTTGAGATATTCCTTTTTTGTTGCTACAACATAATTGGAAAATTGTTCGTATTTGATAGACTGTCTATTGTATTTTTCTTGTTGATTTATTTTGTATTAAGGTTGGATATCTTATCCACCATTTTGTACGTTTTTAACTCTCAATGAAGTGGAAGCCTTTTGTTTCTTATCCAAAAAGAAAGTATTCCTTCAAGAAACTTCAAGTTGATCATCTAAGTTTATAATATGTGAATGTGGATATTGGGTGCTGGGTTTAGAAGGTATGTGGAATATGACACTACTCCACTCTTTATCCATGAGATGTGACCATAGGCTTCATTTTTGTACCGTATGGGCTATCTAATGTATATTTAATGTGCTTGCATGTGAAAGAGAAAATCATTGATGAAATTGATGACTATTAGTCTAATATTTGTTTCTTATTGAAAATGCATTATAACCTTGTACACATTTTCCAAAGGAATATATATTAACTCATGTAAGCTATATGATTGCCAGAGTGGGTGGGAATACTTATCTGTTGACATGTGTTTTAGATGCAAACGTTTATAATGAGAGGGGGCACTCTGTGTAATATCCTTAAGTTGTGCTAGCAAATCAGATTTATCCATGTCTTCATTTTGGATGCATATTTTTTACCTTCAAATGCTAGAAAACAATGTGTCTATTTGTGTGCTAGGTGACATTTTAGCGTGCCCTTATGATACTGCTGTGTTTTGGAGTAACACTTTATTGTATGGATCACATTTAATCTTTTTGATGTCACCAGGAAAAAGCCGAAGTGGAAGAAGATGAGCGATTGGAAGAAGAATCTGAGGAGGAGTCTGATGAAGAACCTGAAGTCAGTGAACTGTTACTCACTTCTTCATATAAAGCATCTTTGCCTTCCATTTATTCTATTTGTGCCTCCTTATTTTATGAAATGGCTAGATGCTCTAATATTATCATCTTTTGTGGTCCTGTAATGAGCAGAAGCGAAAAGGTACCGAAGGTGTCATTGAGATTGAGAATCCTAATTTGAATAAAGCAAAGACTCTGAAAGCTAGAGATGTTGATGTAAGTTACATCAGTTATTTTTTTTGGTGTTTTAAGTAAATCATCTACAAACTAAGAGTGTGTAATGCTCTTTTTGTTTTGCAGATCGAGAAAACAACTGAACTTTCAAGACGTGAAAGGTTTGTGATTGCTTGTCTACTTTCCACCTTACCAGGAGCTAAAGAAATCCTCCTTTTGGGAATTGGTTCCATATTTATCCTTAATTCTCTCTCTCTCTCTCTCTCTCTTACACACACATACACACATTTTCTTTCTCTTTTGTTCTCATTATGAATCTCTTCATCTCAAGTCATCATTGGTTGATTCAGGGAATTGCTATTCCTTCAACCCAGGCAATCTTAGAAAAGGAAAAAGTCCACCACCTTTCTCATCCTCTGTACAGAAATAGTCAATTCTTGCATAGGGTTCATGTAGCGTACCCCAAAAAATCTGGGATAAGGCTTTATTGACTTGAGTTGTATATTATTAGTGAATGATTATGACTACAAACATTTTCTTACAAGTATATATATTTTTTTCCAAGTTTGTACCAAACAGTGTCAAAGCATATCATGATTTCTGACTTCTTGCTTCGGTGTTATATTTACTCTGTAAAGTGGCAATGCCGGAGATCCACTGGCAGGATGCCAGTTTCTGCCATTTCATAGCTTTGGCAAAAAAAATAAAAATCAGTTGCATGATAAGAGTTCTATAACCAAGATAACTGTTGGCAACATGTGCAACACATAAGACTATTGTTAGGGGTTTTTTTAAGAGGGATAGAAGAATTTCTGTAAGGAACATGGTATCTGCCATAGAATTACAGAGACAGAAAGCAATATACAAATGAAAGACCTTAGTGCAACACCAAAATGCAATAACAGAATTGCCTAGCAGCCACGTGGATCCATTTTCCTTTTAACTTTTGAACTTTTGTATTCTTATTTTCAAGTGATAGTTTTAGTATTTTCTTCATGCTTGCGTTTATTTATTTGCAGAGAAGAGATAGAAAAACAGAAAGCTCATGAACGATATATGAGACTGCAAGAACAAGGGAAAACTGAACAAGCAAGGAAAGATTTAGGTAAGGCAGTACCTTATTATAGTTCATTCTCATTCCTTGAAGAATCAGTGTTACTTCTAGTTGCCTTGTCATTATGGTGCAGTCGAGTATAATCCCCTTTAGGCATTTTGGGAGCAATTTTGTGTACTGGGGCATACTTTCATTAACGGAAGAGGTTTTTTTAGGGGCGTACGTGCATTTTTCCATGATGTTATACCATTTTTCGCACTTGTCAAAAATTTGGGTATTGATGGCCATCGGATTGTGATCCGCTTAGTTATTAGGGTGCAGTAAGTTGCATATGTTTGGAGTTCTACTCTAGCCAGCAAATTTCTTATTTAATGTAAATGTGTAAGTGGTGGCCTTTTATCATGTATATCATATCTCTTGATTGGATGATTGATTTTTGTTGATCCCATCTTCACAATTCCATTGACACCCATGTTTGCCAGCTGCTTATATTAAATCTCTTTTTTTTTTTAAAGGGAAGAGTGAGAGTATACTATTTGACAATCTATTGCTGACCATCTCCAACTCTTGCAGAGCGTCTAGCCCTCATAAGAGAACAAAGAGCAGATGCTGCTAAAAAGCGAGAAGAGGAAAAAGCTGGTAACATTCTATAGTAACCACACTCATCTGTAGCCTTGCATTTCCCTGTCAATGTGATTAGCATACTGACATTTTTCATTTTTCACAGCCAAAGAACAGAAGAAGACTGAAGCTCGGAAATGATTTTGACGGGTGCACGTAAATTATTATGTCAAACAAGTACTTCTGCTCTACAAGAAATTTTTGTCATTCAGTTGGCATAACCATAATATCAAGGATTCATATTTTCCTTTCTGGTAGTTGTTAAAACTGATGTTGCCTTTGTTATGGATCACCATATAACCATGATATCATATTTTCGAAAGAGTAGAACTGATTGTTTGACCATATGTTGGAAGAATCTTTCCAAGAATTATTGTTGATTGCCAATACAGTTCAAGAGCAATGGGTGGTGTGGGTGAGAGTTATTTGACCCATCTAGATGTTAGCACACGTGGCAATTAAGATTATCCTTGTGGCTAACAATTCTTTGATCATGAATATTTATTCATATCTGTTTGGGGTTTCTTGGTGTTATAAGATAAATTCCTTGTGTGGTTAATTTTCTGAAAATGTTGAACTTCTGGACACAATTTGGATATATTGCAGGAGGTATTAGTGTATATCTTTGCTTTATAGCTAGTAGACTCTAGTGATGACTACCTCGCAAGGTTGTTGGGTTATGACCGTTGTCGTGTTGTTGTTTTTAGCCGCAATATTAGGTGGATTTCACTTCCCCAATCACCTAGCAAAGGTATTTTGGAACCTTGTCATTTTTCTCATATTCAAGCAACGCTTAAAATTTTCACTTTCCCTTTCCCTTTCCCTTTCCCTTTGCTTTTCCTTTCCTCTTTTTCTTTCTTAATTTTCTCTTCTTATCCTCTTCTAAAACGAGGAAAGAAAAGCGATGAGAGACAAGCCACTTGTAGAAATTTGTTGAACAACAGAACATTCTGTCCGGGGAGTGATATTTTATACGGAGCTCAGCTCAAATTTGGTTTTAGCCGAACTTGAATAATATTTTGAGTCCGACAGGTGAGTTACTCCAAGTTGAACTTAAACAATTCTTGAATAGCATGAATCGAGCCTTAATATAGCCAAACTCGAAAGATTTGACTCGATAACACTCTTAGGTATATTTATACCCGTTTCGCATTATTTATGGGACATTATTAGGCTTCAAAATTCACTTTCCCTATAACCAAGCAACTACAAATTTTCCATTTCCCTTCTACGTTTCCTCTTCTCTTCTCTTCTGCCAAACCAGAGAATGAAAAGAGATGAGAGACAAGCCACTTGTAGAAATTTGTTGAACAACAGATCATTCCGTCCGAAGAGTGACATTTTATATGGAGCTCGGCTCAACTTTGGTTTTAGCCGAGTTTGAATAATATTTTGAGTTAGATGGGTGAGTTAGTTAAAATTGAACTTAAACAATTCTTGAATAGCATCAGTCAAGTCTCAATATTCGAAAGACTTGACCCAATTAACACTCCTATATAAATGCCCTTTTTGCATTATTTGTGGGACATTATTAGGCTTCAAAATTCACTTCCCCTATAACCAAGCAGCTACAAATTTTCAATTCCCCTTCTACTTTTCTTCTTCTCTTCTCCTCTGCCAAATCAGAGAATGAAAAGGGATGAGATACAAACCACTTGTAGAAATTTATTGAAAATACGAAGTCCATGCTTGTATTATAAGTTTATCGCATGGACGCTTGGAAATTGGAGATCCATCTCCTTTTCCCTTACAAACCAGCAAACAATATCGAAACAGTACGCCTCTTGAGGAGTTTAATTACCATCGTCAGTAACCGGCTCTAATACTACTTAGGTTTGAAATTCTTTTTTACTTAAAAATTTAAACTTATAGATAGTGATTGTATTTATATTATATTAACTTTTCTTTAATTTTTTTTGTTGGATATTAAATTACTAGTATTCATCACCTATAAAATATTGTACATTCTCAATCAATTCGGTCACTTGTTAATTTGTCAATTTTTTTGAATATATATATAAGTCTATAACAAATGTCGTGATAATTTTTTATTGGCCATGAATATCATTTGACATTGTTACATGGTGATTGATGAGTATTGAATATTTTTTGGTGATATTCCAATAAGAAGAGAGAAGGGAAAGGGAAAGGGAAGGAAAAATATTTTCAATAATCAGAATAGAGTTAATAATCGAATCAAGTTTATTTTTTTAAATGAATTTAAAATTTTATTTAAACTCAAGTTGAATTCAAATAACTTAATTATTTTATATATAAAAGGGCCGAGTTTTTTTAAATTTATTTTTGATAATTGTTTAAATTCAAAAAAATAAACTTAAAAATTTATTCTAATTCTAAAATAAGTTAAACTTGAACTGAATCCGAATAAGTCTGTTGGATTATCAGCATTCCATCAAAATGTATAGTCTAGTAAACATATCTATAAAGGTAACAACACCAAAGAAACCCAACTGAGAGTGTTTTGACTGAAGTCCCAATCCAATGAGCAACCACGAAGACCCTAAACCTCCCCAGAACCACCCTCTTCCTCTTCCACCTCTTCCTCCTCCTCCTCCCCTCTCTTCTGCCAAGATCTCAGATGGGTATTCAGGTGGTTCGAAGCACCACTTCCCCAACCCACCTGACCGCACAAACCCAGACCCGGCAACACTCAGAGAGCAATGGAGGTTCGCGATAAGGCAGTACAGCAGGTGGTACTCTCAGGCATGGGGCACAGCGATACTGGCTGGGATTTCGTTCTTTGCCCTTGGTTGGATCATCAAGGGCTCCAATCCTCTTCCCTCCCACAAGCCCAAGGACGAAGATAATCCTTCTTCTTCGTCTTCAAATTCTCATGATTCTGAGGTGCATCAAGCTCGATGAATCACCAATTGAGGTCGGGGTCAGTCTCAAAATTATGCATATATACAGATACTTTGGCTTATGCATTTTCTTTGGTATATTATGCCATCTATGTATGTGTAAGTGAGGATATGGTGTTTTTGATGATAAATGGTAATGGGTTTTTGGAGGTTTAGTGTTATGTGGTCCGTTTTGCTATTAAGGTGTTGCTGATACTTTTTTGGTTGAATTTCTTTGGGTGTTAACCTTGTTGTTGTTGACTGGTTGACTGGTTGACTGGTTGATGGTTTAGTTCTTCTAGAGTGGCTATTTCAAGGGATTGAATCTTGGGTTTTTGTATTATTTTGCTGTATTGGTTATGATTCGGCTAGTTTGGTTTAGAGGAGTGTGGGGGTGGAATGGTGATGTTTTTAGGAAACTGTAGTAAGCTATGCCCTACTCTAGCATGACCTATTTTTTTCTTTTGTTAGGGTGTTGTTGATGAATTTGCAGATAGACCGTTGAATGAGAATGCTTGAATGGGAATCGTCTAAGCAACTGGCTATAGCCATGAGCAAAAGCCACAGGGAGAGCAGAGACAATCTGTCATAAGAGAGGGGCGAGCAAGTGACAGATTGGGAAAAAAAAATAGATAGGCCTTTTGAGTGATTAGAGGGATTGGCCCACCCCAGCATCCATTTGATCACGACTGTTTGTCCTTAGATGGTTTTGAGTTGGTAAAATGAGAATCAAACTCTGCTTCTTCTATCCAGATTATTTCCATTATCTTAGGCGCCTCTAGACTGAAAACATTGGGGTGAGTTGTCATGAGAATATATACTCTTATCTGTGAACTATTGAATATTCTATTATTCAATTTTAACACATAACACAACAAAGTTCCACTAGTAAATAGAATCAAAGTAAGCCACGTTTTTAAGTGGGCTGTCATTTTTGAAGCCAGGGTGGTGGGAATCTTGGTAGACAAAATAGGGTTCAGTTCTGTTTACTGGAGTTACTACAGAGTCCTCGGAGGAGTAGATTGATGGAGGCCATGGTGGAAGAGGTAGAGTCATTGCACATGAACAAGACTTGGAGTTTGGTGGAACTTCCCAAGGGAAAGAAGACTATAGGTTGCAAGTGGGTGTACAGGAAAAACGAAGCGGTATCAAAAAAGGAAGGAGAAAAGTTTTTCCGGGGATCTTTGTTGACGTAAAAAAGCAGTACATCCCTTCAGTTTTATGGGATACTTCAGCTTCATACATACAAACTGACTTCCATCAATGGAGAACCCGAGTTCTCTTGGCAGTTTGAGTTTCTATCATTGTAGCAGTGGCCCTTAACGAACAAAATTCAGCTGCTTGGCATTAAAAATATGAGGTTATCCAGTGAGAGTTCTGTTCAATCTATGGAATTGTTGTTGGTATACATCTCATTCTTGTTAGAAAAGATATCATTTATCATCAAGTTACTAAGATCACTACAAGTGGTCTGTGAAACTTAGGCTGACTATACAGTCCATCTTAGGTGAGGCTATAGCAGGCCATTTCTTTAGCGCCCGAGTTGCTAAATTTGTATACCTTCTGCATTCCATTTTTCATATGGGCGCATGGCAGGCAATGCCAATGTTTTACTTCTTAACAACCCATTTGCCTTACAATGTGGGCCTCGTCTTTCATACAGTTTTTTTGCTGGGGCAGCTGTGAGTTTCTGCTTGTCGTCTTTCCCAGCAAACTTTTGGGGCATCTCAAGCCCCTCTGAGCATTTCATTTCATGTGAACTTAACCCTAGCCTTAACCCACCCACGGGGGCCCAAAAAAAAAAAAAAAAAAATCACTCGGAAAGGAAGGAGTGCAAATATTTCTCAAGTCTTCGATCATAACAAATTGATTCATGTTTAGCTCTGGATTGATGCCAAATCTCGTATATGGGGCCAAATTATCTGATTTGTGGCCAGATGCCAAATAACAAGGTATTTGCTTCAAGCTTTGATGGCACTGAAACGCTACAAGATTATCCACATCTGTGTAGTCCCAAAATGCCGTGCATTGGATGCTATTTGAAGCATGAGTGTGTGTGTTTGACCTCTGTTCCTTGCCATTTAGACTTGGAGGTTGCAATTTTCCCAGCATTTCAAAACTTCTGTGAAGGCCATTTCATTAAAATAAGCCCGATGACCATGTGAGATGTCATTTAGATTCCTAGATAAGTTGGAGCTCTATTAAGGTTGTGCAACATGGGAGTTCCACCAAAAGATTGTGATCTTGTTCTTCTGCCACCTGTTTTCTCTGTTTTATTTTCCAGTAAATTTTCTCCCAGCAGTATGTTGGGCATCTGGTAATGCCCAATTGGGTCTTTCAGCTAATAGAATTATGCCTTGTCAAGGCAGTACTGAAGCTTATATCCTACTGGTGGTGATTGGGTTTCCTAAACCAGATTTGGGGTTATTTAGGAGCATTTGGTTCAAACTTGTGACTTGAAGTATGACAGTGATCTGTGCATTCACTTATGTACCCTGTTAAAGTGGTGGACTGGTCCCCAACATCTGAGCTGATAAGTCATCTGTACTATATCCATGCAGTGAACTTGAGTTTCCTCAGGATTCCTTGCTTAACAGAAAACCTTTTTTAAAAATGGTGAGTGAGGTTTTGAAGGAGCATTAGGAAACACCTTCTACAAGCTTGTGTTGGATTTCCATTTGCAGACCATTGGCGTCAAGTCTTTTTGTGCTCATTGTGTCAAACTGTGCAGCATTGCTTGCATGACATGCACCCTTACCTTGAGTGATTATTTTTGTCAAAAAATCCTAAATTCCTTGACCTTCAATTCAAGCCATAGAATTTGTGTGCATGATATGCATTTGAGTAGGTTCCTTACTTAGAGCTATTGATTTTTTCTAACGACTTTTTTAATACTATGTAGTAATCCTTTTTATGGCCTTGGTGCCCGTAAAGGTTTGATTATTAATTTTATGCTTACATTATTATAAACAGTTCATTGTGACCTGCATTTATTAGAGAAAAGAAATGTGGTTCTTCTCATGGGTGACTGCAGTTAGTTCATCGCCTGCTTGCCCTGTTGACTGTATGCTGAAGAGAGTTTCTGTGACCTTTTCTTAGAATCCAATTTGATAACTAAATGTATATAACAATATACTATAGATGTGTCGGAGAATTAATTCTTATTTTAATTTTAATAAACCTAGTTATTAATTTGGACATGTATTATATAGTAATTTGAGTTATTAGAATTACTATTGTAATTAAAGACCTAAAGCTATAAGAATAAGTAGAATGAATGGTTAGAGACCTAATGCTATACGATAAGAAGAGTTTTGATAGGACATGGAAGGAAAAATGATGACATTAATAAGGATATGTAGGGTATGATTGACTTTACATTATTAAATAGGGATGAAATAGGAAATCAAAAAATTTTCACATATAAAATTAGTATTTGATTAGGAGCATAAAATTTCAGGACGAGCCTCTATGCTTTAGGATCAATCTCTTGATTTTATGATTGATTTATTGCTGCTTCCTGTGAGATAGATTTGTTATGCATTACCATTTCTTGTGTATGCGACTTACAATTCTGATTCAATACAGACAACTGATTGCAGATGCTGCAGCCATGAGGAGGAAGAGAATCACCTTGACAAGTTTCTCAAATCAAGCTTCCTCTGGTTCAAGGGGGAGGAAAATAGGAAATAAAAGTTCTTTTATCCATGCATGAGTACAAACTACAGAGCGAGGGGACCATGAAACACTTCATGGGAGGTCTTCTGAATGTGAAGTTCACGATTCATGAACCGTTCATGTTCATACAATCGGTGCTTATTTTTACATACTATTTCCTTTTGACATATACCAAACTGTGTGTGTGTGTGTCACAAATACTTCTCGCTTACCAGCTTTGATATTTCTATGGAGAGTTTGTTTTTCATTTTTCTGAAAAGATGTAAAGACACTGACTAGAGCGATCTCTGCTCACCTAAAGAGAATATGTGAAACTTTGTGTTCGGTTGCATCTGAGACTCAAGTTTGCAGGATGAAAGAACTGGAAGCATATCTAATTTCCGATATCGATAGCTGAGTTCTTGTAGTGATATGAATACTTTATATTCAATGTTGATGGGTTAGAGCAAGGGAAGCATGTCTGATTTTCATTTTTGTACCAGTACAGATGAGTTGCATAGAAGATTCTTGTTATGCTATTTTTTTCCAAGCAATAGGATACTATCACGACCTGAACACTCTCTCTTCCTCCTACCAAAGCAATTCAACAAAGCAATTTGGTGAGCTTGTCTTATTTCACCGTCAGAAAAACAAAAGAAGACTTCTATCTCTAAGTTTTACTAAAATGTAGCTCTTTTCTTTTCGGGTGTGTAGTAGTATCAAACCAAAATACCCAATAAACTCAATAAACATTAACTCTCCCAAAAAAAGAGGTGATGTAGCTGCACATTCCGGTACAACTACTTTGTTACGACTTTGCTTCACTTATTAGCCTACCTTTGGCATCCGCCTTCTTGCAGTTGTTAAAGAGGCCAAAATTTCAACAATTCTAGCTATACCAATCTATTTTTCCATTAATAGGACGAATTAACCCACGCACTCATAACAAGCTTTAAAAATTGTTCGAAGTTGATTGAAAAGGGGTCTATTGGTTGTTCAACAATGAAAATTCATCATCTCAAAGGGCCAAATTGCACACAAGAAAAAGTTTCTAATTAGCAACTATTTCCCTCCAGAGCATACATATGAATAGACTACCTATTTCACACCAAATAGTATTTGGTGAATCTTAAGTCCTCAAGTCTTGTACAATCCTATATCCTTGGCAAGCATAGACCCTTTTCCCTGTATTCAAACCATGAATAAATCAGTGGTAATCTCATTTATATTGTATTTTTGCGGGTTGCCGGACTAATTCCTTTATAAGAATGAACATAGTATAAAAGTTTTGTCCTGCTTCCCTAATTTTATGGGATTAACCATAGCAACACCCAGTTTTCTTCACTGCTGATACATCATCCTTGGTTCCAATATTAATTGTCTGTCCCTTGGGCAAGGCTGCTGGGTCATCTCCTATGTCAAGAGCCTTCCTGCTTACTACACGATAGATTTGAGTCAGCACTTCTGTGAAGGCATTGTCAACATTCAAAGACTCGAGAGCTGACGTTTCCATGAAAAAGTTGTTCTCCCTCTCAGCGAAAATCTTTGCATCTTCAATAGGTACAGCTCGCAAGTGACGTAGGTCTGCCTTGTTTCCGACGAGCATGATCACAATATTGGCGTCTGTGTGATCCCGAAGCTCCTTCAGCCATCTCTCCACGTTTTCAAATGTCACATGACGGGTAACATCATAGACTAGCAAAGCGCCAACAGCTCCTCGATAGTAAGCACTCGTGATTGCACGATACCTTTGGCAATGAAAATGAGGTCAGATGGAATATCTCAGAGGATCATATTGCAGAACAAAAATTCAACAGTCATTTAAATTCTTGCAAGTAAAGGGGCACCAGATGAATTATTGATATCGAAAAGAAAATAGGCCTTACAACGAGGGTTTTTGTCTCAGGTTATGAATACTTCAGGTGCGAGTTTGCTTTCTGTTCACACAAATTGTATCCCAGAAGAGTTTAAAGTTTATAATACCAAAGGAATAATTAAAAATCATATAATGATAAGGTAGTTTGGTGCACAAGAGGAAGGTGAATGAAGAAACAAAAGAGTTGGAGACACTGAATTCAGAAGCATTACAACTGCGACATACCACTTCTTTTCCTTCTATTCAGACGCGTTACATGTGCAGTTGTGCACAAAAAACATAACCCCGGGGGTGGGGGGATCGACAAATCAAACTTCAAGAGGTATCGAACACACGAAAAAAGGAGAAGAAAAAAATGCCATCATCATGCAAGAAAGCAGTGGGGTGTGAAGATGGAACTTTAATTTTCATACTCCTCGGTGGTCTAACTGGTTCAAGAAAATCGAAGGAATTACAAATCTACAGTGAGCCATTACGTAATCTCTTCCTAAAGAATTTTACTGAGGAATTTTTCTTACACCAATATTCGATACATCTCTATATGAAAAATGAGCCCATGTTGTTTCCCAGGTAGGTGAGAAAGTACAAAACCTGACGATCAATTACGTCTAGCTCATGTATTGAGCTTCTTATCTATTGACGGATTGTCTAGCTTTTTTCATTTGTAACTCTTTAAACAAGGTTACCTCATCTGAAATAAAAATGATAACTCAATTATATCACCGTGTGTATTTTTTTTGGTGCTATGACCTCTACAGGCAGTATGATTTCATTGGTGTAAATGTACTGGAAATTTTTTAACAGTAAAATAATAATTCGACTTCAACATTTGTGTGTGTATTTGTTTTCGTGTTTTCAACACTATGCTTTCATGGCGTAATGTTTCCCTTTGAGATTAAGATTGAAGTTGCTGTGAAGAATACAGAATGATTACAAACCTGTAGAGCATGTACCAAATGCATTATCTGTTATAATTGAGTCCCTAGTACTTTCTGATAGGCTTCTAAGATATTGATATTTATGCTACATTCTTGGTCAGTGTATGCTTAGTTTTGTATTATACTTTTCTCATTTCTTCTTATTTACTTTGAATTTAGTTAGATTGTTAATTATAGAGTGCAGGATATTATATTCATCGATAAACAGAAAGGTTACCTAAAAAACTCTTTATTAGCGATACTCCTCAGAGTATGGCAGTTAAAAATAAAAACGCATGCTATGTTATATCGGAGAGATGCATGAGAATCACCCAGCAAATTGATTATTGATAACTCTCTTTTTTTTTTTTTTTTCAGTTGATAGGAAACAATTATTGATAATTAAAAATATAGTTTACAATATCTCAACAGAGATGAACAAGATGTCCCCTTAAAACAACAAAAATCAGAAGAAAAAACTTTAAAATCAAACAGTGCAACCCACAAAGCCACAATCTCTCTATCTTCTGAATGCGGCTAATCAACTTGATGTGATGCAAAATAAAGGGACACTTTCAAGCTTCTTTGCCACTTAAGCCCCCCCAAAAAGCTAAAAAATAGATCCAATCCCACATCCCTTCAAACACTTTTTTATCTTCAAATATCATTGATTTTCGCTCCGACCAAATAACCCAATAACCCAAACAATTTCAGAGGCCACACTTTGCTAAAGTATAACCCTAGTACCTCCTCCGCCCAATCCTTTGAAATCCACACGAAGCATAGATGAAATAGATCGCAGTGCCACCCAACAAATCCTTAACATTTCAAACAATTTGTTCCATAAGGATAATGCAATAGTACAATGTAAGAAGAGATCCGCACTCTCACTACTTGCTATACACATAAAACACCATTGTGGACAAAGAAAGGAATAAGGTCTTCGTCTTTGGAGCATATCATAGGTATTGTTCTTTCCATGAGCAATCACCCATGTACAAACTTGCATTTTCAAAGGCACATTTGCCTTTCAAAACATCAAAGCTTGGGAAAATAACACAATGGAGGGATTATCAATGAAAGAGTCAACAACAGATTTACATGAGAAGGAACAAGAAGAATCAATAACCCAACTTCTTTTATCCGATAACTCTTGGTTCAGGGAGACCGACTTAAGCAAGGAAAGAAGTGACACTAGTTTTGAAGACTGCCCAATATTAAGATTCCTACAAAACCCAAAGTCCCAAGCAAGTAGAAAGGAATTGGACCTTACCAACGAAGCAACACTATGTTCATGATAGAAAGAAAGTCGATGTAAACCATAGTTACCAAAATTCACTAAACCTCTTGACGAGTCAAGATCTGGATACATCAATCCCAAACGGGGTGAGTTCATGATCTAGATCACTAAAATATACAAACCCAAATTGTAATGCTAACGCTAAATCGATTCGGTTTAAAACATGTGACACAAATATAAAATACATATTAATTGACTATGTGTATATACATATTTTTTGCTATGGGTCTATGTGAATATAGATTTATAATTATATATTGTTTTAGATAATAGAAAATCAAGCATAAATATAAGATAAATGATAACTAACTTTGTGTTTATGGATGTTCAATGATATATAATATTATAAAGTAATAAAAATGATTTAGATAAAAGTTCCAAAACGAATTGCAACCCAAAACACCGACCCAATTAAGCATACCCCCATTGTATTACATACCACAATTCAAGTACCATTGATGTCAAAGACAAAATGAACTTGAAAACGGTACCGCTCCAACCCAAATATCCTCCTAAAGTCGAACTCTCACCCTTTTACTTACAATAAACTTGGCTTTTTGAGAAAAACAAGGTAATCCTTGTGAAATGAATTTCCACGGGTTTCGATAATTTACCCCGTCGCCATAAGTATCCCACCCATTAATTTCCAAGTCATACTTCCTCTTAATAATCAAATGCCAAAACGAATTCTACTCCACAGCCATTTCCCGATCAAATCCACATTCTTATGCATCAAATTTTCCTCTAAAAGTCCATCGTTTGAATTTAACCTAGAGACTTCCAAAAAAAATCTTTCATCATCCATTTAATCCTCTTTGCCACCCCCACATGGCATCTTAACAAAAGACATAAAATAATAGGGACTACATACATCCTTTAATTCACATCCTCCCCCTTGATCCAAATCATTTAGCTTCCATAACAAAATCTAAGAACAATCAACATGATCATATGTTTACTCAAAATCAATCTTAAAAACAATACCATCTATTCCTCTAGTCCTATAATCTTCCATCAACTCATTAGCCACAAAGAACTACATCCGATATTTTGTCTCCCTTTAACAAAAAACTCCTTGAAATCTCAAAATGATTTCATTTAAGCACTCTCTAAGCCTTGGAGACAACACCATTGGAATTATCTTCTACAAATTTAATACTAAGATAATTGGCCTAAAATCTTTAATATTCAAAGATTTCTCTTTTTCTAGGATTAACCATATATGAATGTAGCATGTGTAATGCATTAACCACCCATGAAGAAAAAGGAAACACCAAAAAAGTGCTTCTCCAAGCAATTACCTTCTTGAGGTTGTTATACTTTAAAATGCATCACGGCCTCAATTAACTAGAGGGCACAAC